CAAAACCATCATTTAAACTGTTGGAGACGCCCTATTTAAATGATGGTTTTGCACCTGCCACCAGTTACGCAATCGCTCTTGTTAAATCACCCGCAAACCATGGTTCAGCCCCTCGCGCAAAATTCCAGTTTGCGAGCGCAAATTACTGCACGCAAAATTGGATCTTGATAAATCCGGCCCAAAGACTGGTAATAATAGGAATATTTTCGTATTAAGTATAAGTTAATGTGTTGTCATTTTTTACAGCATTTTCTATGGTAAATTTGCAACCACAGCTTGTTATTTTATCCAAATATTTCATCCATTCTGTGGACTGCATTTATCTCTTCTGAAACATCTTGGGTTTGATCAAGTTAAATGGACTTCGGGAAAATGAACAGTTTCTTTCCCTACTCAAATGCACAGTCAGCAGCTCTCATCTCTAACCTCTATTTCTCACTCCTGAAAACTTTCTCTTGCACTAACCTGTTCTGAAAATATCTTAGAGAAACACTCCTCATGCAACGTTTCCAGTGTGATTATTCGGCCAGTTGTTTTGTCAGCGTCCAAACAAGGAGTATCTTCAGCCTACACTTCAATATCTAGGCATGTTAACATCCTTGGATGAAACTTTCTACACTTGCCATAATACAATAAAAGCTGCTCACACTCTCTTCAAGCAAATTAGTGGTGGTGGTGTTACTCCCTGCATTTATAGCCTTCTATATTGCCCGGGGCAACAATCCTATCATCATACCTGACTTTTTTTTTTTCCAGTATTCATGTTATGTTGCCCCATTATGTTCCTAAGCATGCCCATGTGAAGTCCTTGCAGGCAATCATATGTGTGCTCACATCTTTATCAACAACCTTTACAGACACTCACCAGCACCATACCTTTCGTAGGCAGCCTTTAGCAGACAATCTTTGATTTTTTTTATTCACACCTCTATTTAGCATACAAAAAAAAAAAACTCTTGAGACTCAGTCTTATCTAAAAAAGATACCTGTTAAATACAATCTAAGCCATTGCAGGCATTACTGTTCATAATGCTTGACTGATGCCTTCGCAGGCTGCCATGGATAAATTCACATCTCTACCCATGCCTTCCATGGGCAGCATAAACAGGCAATCTATCTCAGCTTTTTACAGTCAATTTCTTTTTGTCTTTGTCTAATTTTCTGCACACTGTGAAACAAAACATCCAGTTGATAAAATCTTAAATCATCAAAACTCAACTTTCATCTTCGGCAGGAGGTGTGCCTAGAAAATAATATTAGTGGGGTTGCTGGGACATTTATTGATGTTATTAAACAAAGTGCATTTTGTGAAATCGGATACTGAGATATCACTATTTTACACATATTTAAGTTCCTGCTGTTTTAGTTTCCTAAAATAGTTTTATATTTTTTACTCCTTCATGATAAATACTTTGAGACTTAGTAATTAATGCCATATGTAAATTAAACAGAATTTTAGGATTCAAATAGATTTTATTCTAGCAATTTCTCTGTTGCAACAATTTCCTTGAACTTATTTAAATTAACTTCATTCCACTAGCCTCCCAATGCCTCACCTTAATTAATATACAAAAACATTCTTAAAATACTCGTTACACTTTAAGAATATGTAATATGAAATCCTAAAATGTCAATGCCAATATCAAAATGAATTTCTAAAATGCACTAAATGTACATGCACTGTACAAAGATGTGTTAACTTACATAGTAGGAGGACCAGAAAGAACAGACTTCTGAGCATCATAGCTGTTTTGGCTTCAGCATGTGTCCTGACCTATCTTCTGAGCTAGCTGAGGATTCATCTGGCTAAGCAAATCCTTTTAAACAACAACAACAACAAAAAATGTTGCTGTAATGAATGAACACAGGCTAATGGAAAAGGCCAACACCCTAAGCACTCAACTGCATGTGCTTTGAACATATTTCTGTTGTTGTTTTTTATACTGTCAACATAAAAGGCCTCTAATCCATTAAGGGAGATAACAGAACTTGTTAAAACATTTAAAAAGAAACTTATCCAGAAGCCTGCATTAAAGCCTTAGCTTTTACATTTGTGTTTATTGAATAATGCATAAAGTAACTGATACAGTATTTCTGAGAAAAACGTCGCTTTTTGTGCTGAGTTAAATGTTGCTTTCATGCAGAGCTACTTATTGTGATTATCACCAATGAAGCAGTTATAAAACTGCTTATAACGGCTCTTTTCTTTGCTGTTTTTCTCATGCTATTTTTGAATATTAGAATAAATATTTTGCAAGACAAATTCAGATTATTTTCCCCCCAAGATGTTTATAATCTTAAAGATGAGATGAGTAACGTTGTATGACAGATTTGATGTGTATGATATCCTCATTGTACATTGTATTGCATAATAAAAAAAATAGCTGATGTTGTCATGATCTGGCCTGTTTGCTCCTCCCTAATTAGTAATTCCTCTCACCTGCCGTTTTCCCTCCCTGTCTCAATTACGATTTATTCCCCTCACCTGTTTCCTCTGGTTTAATATTCAGTTCAGCCTGGGGATTCAGTGCCAGACCATTACTTGTCTTTCTGTCAGTTTGTCGTTTTAGTTTTAGTTCATGGTTCATGTCCTGGATCC